TATTTTTTACAGAGAGATCGCGTTGTCCACACATTAACGGCTCACCTGTTAGAAACAAACTGGATCGGGTTGTAATCACGTTGAATAGGTGAGTAATAGCATCTTGTGAAGTTGTGGATGCTGCTCCTTAGAGGCTCGACCCACGTCGCCAGTGAGCATGTTACCGACTTTTTATTGTCTATCGTATAATATTGATGGATTCCGAAACGAGTTTTGAATTAGATTTTGTTGGTGTAAAAATCCAGAAAACTTAAGCCACAAAGGCAAGAAAAATAATAGTTGTTTCAAAGAATATCTTTCCCGGGCCATGCGGTGACTCGGTGTCTGGCCATTTCCCTAAAGCAATTTGTTTTTTTTTTTGTTATGAATAAAGTAGCAACTCATATTATAATCTAAAATTAACACGTTTCGAGCATGATTTACGCGAGTAACGCATAAACTGCTTTAGAAATGTTAGTAACTTTTGTTGGAAGCGGCTTACCGTTTCTCATGCAATTTTTTCCACAGTTTATCGCCATTTTCTGCTTCGAACGTTCCAATACAAGCGATGTTAATACCTCTCGAGGTTTTATTTCACCCCAAAGAAAATAAGAAATGAAATCACGGGGCGGCGTAGCCTACGTTTTGTCGGATAAACATTTTTACCTTTTTAAAATTGTTCGCATTTTAAATGAGCGCTATAATTGTACAAAGAGCTGCTGCTGCAAATATCCTTAAATATATGGCGCGAGTGTCGGAACAGTGCAGGCTCTGCGGTTCAGATTTAAGTGCAACCGAGCGGAAGGAATGCAGACGAATGATATTCCTTAACAGCCGAGCAGGGGATTAAGAAAGCTTCAAGTGACATATATTCGTGTACGACGCACGGAATCATCAATTAAGTGTGAGACTCGGCAGGAATTTTGTAATAAATGTGCCTCTGCAATGTTTTCAACAATATTTTGGATGTTGTACTCGGGGTGTCAGGAGGGTGGCGCGGAGCAGTTCACTCGCGTTACGAGGTGGCACTGCGACTTTAAATGTCGGCGGTCTGTAGCGACCGGTTGCCGCTTAAGACCCACTTGCGGAATTACACCTAATTAGTTGTTGGTTGCACTTGCAAGATTGAAGGTAAGCTTTACGTTACAAGTCGTGTACCAGTAAATTAATTAGAGCAATTAATTGTGTTTAATGTTCTCTTAAGTAAGATGTCAATGTCGTACTGTCGTGTTTATTTACTCACAAAATTGTGGCCTTAAATCTTTTGTACACTTGGATACATATAATAGGAAGGTACTACACAACGTAAGTATTTATATTATCGGGATCTCAATCTACTGGGTTCCGTTCTCACTGCCCTTTGTTTATGTTGACGCTAAAAGAATATTGGATATTCTGAAAATTGGATCTTATGATGGTCAATGTAGTAAGTATGCTACCTACCTATATTAAACCAGATAAAAATATTTCTTTTCTTGTGCTATTATTAAAGATTCTCTAATCCATTGCACTAATATTTAGGAAACTGGTTTTTCACAATAAAGTCAATACTGAGTCTCCATTCCACGGTTTAGATAAATTCACGTAAGAACATTATACGGTTTGTTCAGTCTTCATATGCATCTAAATCGCAAAGATTCTTTACGGAAACTGTGTTTCTTTAAAGTTTATTTTGCTAATTTAAACATCACATAAAGCGAACATGGCTAGTAGGTAGAAAATCGTTTCGAACAAAGAGAAGATGGAAATCTCTTTTGAGGAAAGAAAAGCCACTTTCTAATTGAATATTTAAAAAGGATTGAAACTCAAGCACTGGAAAGCAGGAAGAAAATTGTGCACAATGTGACCATTAAAGTGGAAACCTTTTTACTCCCTTACTAAAAAATACTTATTACCGCGTTAAAACAGCTGACAGGCAATAAAACAACAACGCGAAAAGTTGCCGCTTTATAACAAAAAGTTATTCAGGCCCGTCTCTTAAATACGGGTAGGTAAATAAAAATACACGAACTGGGCCCGGCAACGCAGCGGATTGCGCGTTAGAACCAAATAAAATATTAAGCGAGAGTGGGAATCCCGGTAACCTCACAAAGTAGGCACCCTCTCAAGAGTGTTTCTTCCTATTGAATAGCTCCGAGCCTCTAGATACGTGTACATTCATATTTAGATCTCTCATCTACAGAGAGAATGCTTGCGAAAGCCGCGTCAATATTTAATTGTGATGAAACAATAACTCCAGGGTTGTCGTTAGATCGACACTGAAAACTTTATTACAAACAAATGCGTATTCAACAGTCCTCCGTTCTTGACTTAAGTATTCCTATTGGACTGCAGTTTATGTTTTGATAGACAGATCCTTTAACATTTATAAAACAGTAATAAACAGTCGATATAAGCAGATACGTTATAACTTGACTTAGCATAACATAGAAATCATAACTTTTTTTCCTTGGGGAACAATTTGTGCTTTCAATATGTGTACCTACACATATTATAAATAACACCCACTTTCACAACTTATGTTATGAGTTATAATAGAGGATGAGTCTATTGCCGTACAGCGGGTGAAATTTCAAACTGAATAGTACTATCACGAGATTTTTTAATACAAAAATAACCTACATTATTTCGCCAACCGTGGATACTTTCTTAACGGCTAGTTCGTGAGTCGCGCTTATGTCATTTGACCAATGAGGCGATCACTATTAACAAATTAATGGCTACTAACTATTGACTAGTGTCGCGGAGAACCTAACGGGCTACCGGGGCTCCGGCTCGACGTGCAGTAGAAGGAACGGAGTAGTTTTTAGTCAGTAAGAATCTGACACTCCCTCTCGCCACACCCAGGCGGGAGCAGTCATTCGATGATTTTCGCCCCTTAAAAAAAAACGATTGACTTGTACTCTACGGAACATGTTTTTTTTATTTAAAAAGTCTCACCTCTAGAGTCGTTGCCGTCGTTTGATAAAATAGACTCACTACATAGCTCATAGGTTTAATAAATAATAACAAGACGAAAAATGGATGTATTACCATATTTATGTATGCACATACTTTTCACCTTCATACAATCTGTTTTTTTGCTCTCTATCCCCAGGGAAATGAAGTTTAAGTAGGCAGGTATAAAAAATATTGACTGCCACGTCTTATTTGTAAGATTACCAAGTATTTATATCGTTTGATTTGTATTTGATCTACTTACCTATTTAGTCATCATCATCATCATCATCATTAACAGCCTGTTCTCGTCAATTGCTGGATCGCACCAATGGCCTCCAATGGCACGCCACTGAGCTCGATCTTCAGCTCCACGCATCCAACCACCACCAGTCACCTTGCGGATATCGTCACTCCACCCAGCTGGAGAGTGCCCTACACTGCGCTAAACTAGACGTGGTCTCTACTCTAGAACACCTCTATCCTAACGGTCATTAGTTTTTCGACAAATGTGACTGGCCCACTGCCATTTCAGCTTGCTAATCCTTTGGGCTACGTCGGTATCTTTAGTAGTAGTTATTAGGTAAAATATAGACATTTTCATTAACACCTACACCAACGGTCTTTGAAAGGTTTCTGTATTTCGTTATAGGGTGGCCAAACTTATAATATGTATATACAGGGTGGAATTTTGTAATGCCACCTGAAGAGAAAGTACTCTTAATACTTAAGATAGATTTTTTTTCTCAAAGAAAACATTCATTTTAGAAAATAAACAGAAACGTCATTCAAAGATTTTTAATATTCGCTTGCTGCACACGGTATTCGAACCGACTAAAATCTGTAAAAGTTGCATCCTGTACATTTATTGCATCGTTTGTTAGGGTCAATAAGGATGAAATCTTTCTAACAAAATTCATAAATTTAATGAAAGGAAAACACAGAATGATCGCTGTAATAAAAGTACAGGGTGCAAATTTTGACAGATTTTAGTCGGTTCGATTACCGTATGAGGCTAGCTAATTTAAAAAAATAATTGAATGCAGTTTTGTTTCTTTTCTAAAATAAAGGAATGTTTTTGAGTATAATTTTCTATCTTAAGTATTAAGAGTACGTTCCCTTCAGGTGGCATTACAAAATTCCACCCTGTATACTTATTGTCAAGCTATTGTATTTTAGTAGAAACATTTGATACTTCATCTGCATTATCGATCTTCCGATCACCATACTTGCGTCTCTCCTCGTTTATGCAAATCCTTTGTTACGCAGACAATGTGTGTGGATCACTAACGGCCGAGAGTTCCGCACTAAAATGTTCTGGCCCATTCAACGTTCTTTATTCAAACTTTTGAAATATACCTTCTTCTGTGCCAGTGTCACTTCTATAACCCTATTTAATCATGGATATGTTAATCTTTTCTTCAAACCTTTTTTGTCATTTTCATTTGGTTGTGAAGGGAAACCTTTTTCATTTTATATTTATGTATGTCGTTTTTGTTTCCTATTTTGTTTAGAGTATTTATTTAACACAAATGTATACAATGGCGGACTTAATTTAACATTTTATAGCAGCTTGTTTCATTGGGTAATACTGAGATACCCTATTAGTTGTATTATTTATAAATACAATTACCTAATGCCTTGTTTGCCGAGTGGACGCAAGTGCTGCCGTGCAAGGGGTTTAGGATTCGATTTTAAAAAATTTTAATTTATTCTAAAGATTTTAAATTTTTGGGTTTTCAAAAAATTCTCAGTGGTGGCACGGACTCTGGAATTATGCCCGGCAAATGGCAATGGTCTCACCTCCTATTACATTTACATGGGACTCATAACATAAATAGTGAAAAGTGGGTGTTACATTGTACAATAGCATTAAGTGCCGTAATGTGCACCTCTGCCTATCCCTCAGGGGATTAAAGGCGTGATATTATCTTAATTACTTAAAGAACAGATAAATTTTGTTAACAGTGTCTATCAAATTATCTGTCTAGGTTTACTCTCTTTGATATAAATGATGACTTATGAATGACTGGTGTTAAAAAGGAAGGTGTTTATATTATTTGAAGAAAAATAAAACTAAATAATTTATTATCATAATCTTTTTAATAACAATAAAATGAATCATGTGCGATACATAATTGAATTTCCAATTTAAGATGCACAAGCCTGGTTACTGCACAACTACTGAACCGCGTTTCAAGTTCCGTCCAAATAATACGATCATCGCATTAGAACATGTCTGCTTCGTGTGAAGGTAAAGAATTAGCACTTATAATAATTATTACAAAAGGAATCGGTCCGCGGTGTCGCGTGGCCCGGCCGGCTGTCCGCTGTCCGGCGACACGCATAAACCTACTAGTCATTATGATAAAAAGCACTTTCGTTTTTCGTTAAATATAAGTATTCAATTGCATAATGCATCTCTCTTACCATTTTATAATCGAGAAATATGTAAGAAGAAAATTTATGGAATATAATAACAATAAATAAATATTTTATTTACAGTTTTAAAAATTTTATCGCCTATCTATTATATTCTTCGGGCGTTTAGGAAATAAACAGTACGACGGTAACTAAGTATAAGTGATCGACGCACGAACTGAACCTGGGCACTGGGCACGGAGTGAACACAAACGAGCAGCCTACACGACGCCCTCCTTCCCTTACTCAATACACATCGGGTAACTTTGCTTCCAAAACAAACGGTCGTCAATGAAAACAGCTTACAAACACGTATCATAGATATTACAATAACTATTTACAATTCGCTTAGAGCTGAGTTACGTTACTTTGTTCTCATATTTTGGTACCACTTTATAATGTGTACTGGTCTATTTCGGAACATAATACTTAAAGTAATACTGAAACTAATGTTTATAAAAGCTTTACAATAAAATTCAGTTATGTGGCCGCATCGACGCGGTTACACAACTACGTCGTAACCCAACAGGTACAGTAATCGAAAGAATACAAGTACAAAACATTGTTAGTCGATTGTCAATATGATACATTAAAACGTTGTATCTACTTACACGTTATTTGGCAGTATTGACCTTACATTACCAAACTGATGTCATTACCAGTTACAAGCTACTTACTTCATAGACGTATTAAATCCATTTTATACAACAAATTACAACATACTATGGTCGTTTTAGGTTCTTAAAACTGACAAAACTGCTTCAGAATGTAATATTATGATTCCGCGATATACATACGTTATACCAAATCTGGTGACGACTCAACTATTCCCTAGACTGTTACGATATATCAAAGATCAGGTTAATTGGAACATAACACTTAAAATGGGTCAATGATTAGTCTTCCGGGATTTTTATAATAATTAAAGCTCAAATTTAATGGATAAGAATATATCCATTACATTTTCTATTTATGAGTTAACACAAAAACCTTATCCATAGCACATTCACTTTGGCCTTATTTTGGCACACAGTATCAGTTATTGATTATACGATACACAATAACATTGTACACATACTTCCATCTCTACAGGAAAACATTCGGCAGTACTAGACAGCATTGCGGGAACAGACAGGACCACCATGTTGGACATGAACGACAGACAAGTACAACGTGACCGGCACACTCCGCGCACTGCACGCACTCTTACACTTCGACACCTAAACCATAACGTATTTAAGATAATATTGTCTCGGCAAAATCTCACTCCACGATACTCGTCAAATATAGCGAGTCGTATATACTACGTATATATAAATTTGATAAAGTTAATTCGTATTTAAATATTCCGTAATAATATTTACTCATAAAAACACTAATTCATTGTACTTTCGAAGTTCACAAGTTCACAGGGGGAGGCGGGACAGGGGTTGGGGTTGGGGGGGAGCGGGGAGTATAAACATTTGGTCATTGGTTCAGTATACGGCGGCGAGATGCAACGTCTGCATGGGCAGCAGGCGGGCGCGCTCGGGCGAGGCGCGCCGTTAAATGATGCTCTCGCGGTTGCGCTCGTTCTCCTCCAGCGAGCTCACCGAGCTGCCGCCGCAAATCTGCATCTCTATTTCTTGCAGCCTGGACATAACATACTCATGTTAATCATCTCGCCATGGCAGATACCCTGAAAATGAGGCAATAAGAAACCATAGCTAATACCTCTGGTCAACCTCCCACTGCTGCTGGCTGAGCTTGGCAGACATGGCGGCGTTCTCAGTCTCGACGGTGTAGAGTCGCTCGCGCAGCCGCTTGATCTCGCACTCGAGCGCGTCGTGCGAGTCGAGCATGACGCGCGGCGCGGCCGCCACGCTGCCGCCGCCCGCTCCACTGCTGCGCGCGCTCGACGCGCACGACGCCACCGGCGACGCCACGCGCAACGGACTTACTGACGAACTGACCACACACAACATCGCCTTCAGTATCAACTTTTACTACTAATATGAGAAGTTAGGTCTTGTCCGACACACGCTAATTACTCGTAGATTATATCTCAGTATCACGAGCAAAGCCACTGGTGGAATCTAATGTTGCATACATCAAACTTTTTTTATCAATCAACAATCAACCATACTCTCGGGAGTCCAGCAATTGTGTTTTAATTCTGGACTTTGTTTAACCACAAGATTAATAATGTCCATTTAGAACAAACTGAGAAGAATAAGTACAAGTATTTAAGCAGAATAATTAGTGTTGTCAAGAGCACAGCACCTATAAAGCTGGTCCCGGTAAGAAGGCGGGTGTGAAGGGTGTATAGGTGGCAGCACTGGCGCAGGCGGCAGGTTCATGTCCTCTATGGGCACGCGCCCGCTCGTCTCCACCAGTCCGGGCGTCGACTGGCAACGACCCATGGCCACTACAATACAATCATATCTTTATCAAATATTGTTTTCATGATAAAGCTTCACTAATTAATATCATTCGCAATACTAAACTTCAAACGATCATTCCTGTGGAAACTTGCAATCCGTTAAAATTATCTAACATGAGACTAATATTTACAAGTAACCGGGGACTTATAGGTTTCTGTTGCTGTAAATAATTGGTCCTTATACCTTTTTCTAAGGGTGCTTTCTTATATTTCTCAAGTCTCTTGACAGCGATCGCCTCGAGCCGCACCCTGGCGGCTGGATACTCCTTGAGCACGTCCCACATGTCCTTCTTGCTGAGCACGAAGAGATCCGAGTAACCCACAGATCGCACCGATGCTGTCCGGCGGTTGCCTGTCGACGTGTCATCCACACACTCCATGCCAACCGGCGTCTGGTCCCCCCTTATGAGCTGTTCTGATCCCTCATTCCACATGACACACACATAGACAGAACAGGTCATAAGAAACACTAGACCAGGACAACCGATACAGTGGCAGGGTAGATAGGACAAGAGAAGTTCAGTCACAGTTCAAAAACTAAAATAAGCTTATAATTTAGTAAAAAGATCGAACACTACCTTGAAATTTAGACAACACGTAGGGTGGGTAAACGGTTCCGGAGTCACATCGCGTTCACAATTTGGAAAATAACAACTGACCGTAAAAAAATCATAAGAAGCCATCTCTCTAGGGTTCTTATTGTGCTCCAATACCAAGACAAAGCTTTAAAATACAAAAAGTCTTACATACGAATGCTAGATATTAATAAAATCAGTAGATATATGAAATCCGTAAAAGAACTAAGCAGTTCTACAAGTCAGATTGCATAGGATATCGAAGTTAGATAAAAAATAATTAAAACCGATAGTATGATATAAGATCTTACGTACGCAGGTGACACTTAAAAATATTGGGGAATCATGCACCAAGAGGTCACGCCAAGTATATGAGGTAATCAGGGAGGATGCAAAGCGATCGGGGACACTGCCTTCAATACAACCAAAGGAGATGTACTAAGATGCAAATAAACCACATGACACAAAAGGCTACTAATCCTTGAAGAGGAGCTAAAGATGAAGCCATTGAAGTCCGAGTCGAAACAAATAAAAGTAGTTAAGCTTACCACACAACAATATTTCTTCTTTTGAAGTATCAATATGAAAAGGAATATTTTAAGAGCATATAAAAAAACTGAAATCATATCTAAAATGCGTAATTATAAATTAATTGAAATCGAAAGCATTCCCTAGTACAATTGGCACGAACTAGTTAGCGCTAGTCGGGTGCGTGTTTGCGTGGCAGTCTATTCGAATGGACTCGTAAGACGTAAGTCAGTAAGAGTGCGAGTGCGCAGCCGACAGCGGTAACAGTCGTGGCACAATGATGTCCCAGAACCTGTTGGTAGCGTCGCGGCCGCTCCCTCGGCCTGAGTGCAGCGTCTCCTCGAAACGTTTGCTTTTCAAAACTTTGCAACAGTACAGAGTAGAGTAATAATGGCGTGGCATCTCGGGCCCTGGCGATATTTACCAAGTTGTTTACCTGCCGTGCCCATGTTCAGAATGGAAATTTCGCCAAAATAAGAACCAGCCTTGAGTGTTGCGAGAACGGTCTTCCCGTTGTCGCCTACCACCTGGAGTTTCCCTCGGTTCACTATGTACATCTCCTTCCCGACTTCGCCTAAGGAAAATATTTCTTTTGAAACACAAAGCAAGAAGTACAGAGAATGATTTTATTTTATTAAGCTGTCTGTTTCGAAAGCTAAATTTAAAGTAAATGAAAGCGTACCTTTCCTGCAGATGTAGTCACCTGGCGAGAACAGCACAGGTCGAAGTCTTAAGACTAGCTCACACAAAAATCCTGCCTCCGTGTTTTGAAATATTTCCACCCTGCAGTATAAAGTACAGCGTTGTATTACGATTACACATTTACATAAAAGGTTTTAGTAGTAAAGGTTGGTAGTCGTTATAATGCAAAACATGTACTTTTTCAACATGTCAAATGTAATAAACAAAAGTTGCTAATACAGGTGACTAATTAAAAATTACGAGTACTTGTACTCTAAACATTCAGCAAATAAAATTCCGTTGAAAAACAAATGTACTGAAGAGCCATTTGGCGACAACAATTTACCGATCGTATAAACGAATACTTTTGCATAATTCATGGACGTAAAAAGCGAATGTTCCTCTTTTTAATTATACAACACGGGGTATTAAGCTTCAAGTGTTACGCTGCATTAATATCCTGCATACTGACCAACTATCTTGTACCACCCACACAGAGCGGCAAAACCATAATACATTAAGGTTTAACTTTTATGCATAAAGATGATCATATACTTCATAAAATTATACTTTAAATGAATATAATTTAGTAACTAACGTAAACTAAAACTAGGCATTTATAAATTAAAAGTACGAGTAAACTATTAAAAGTATAGTACAAAGGTAAATAAAGCTCTATTATTAGTAAAATCATAATTATTAAAACGGCATTGTAATTTAATTTCAGAGTATCTATTTATTTTTTATATTAATTTATTAATAAAATATTAGAATGAAAATGGCCCTGAGTTTTCCCGTTTTTATATATTGTACATAACATTTTGTGAGGCGAACATGACAAAGGAATACTAATCGCCTCCTTATCTGCAAACGACATGGAGAACAGTTTGCCACTGAGCATGTTTGTGCTTGAACAAACATTTGAAAACTTTTACAATTGCTGCTAAATATTTGGAATTGTATAAAACTAAAGCCCGTTTTCACCAAACCCTTCTAAATTTTAAGGAACCCCTAATGTAAGATAGGTGACATTTAAGGACATTTTAGTTTTCAACAACCTATAAGTGACATGTAATCGTACAAGGAAGGGGTTAGCTTAGGTGTTACGTCACGCTAAGACACTTTTAGTTTAAGGGTGAGTGGTTTAGGGGTGGTTGGTAAAACGATACTATTTTAAAGCAACTGCTGACTAATATATAATATTAACTGTGAATTACCTCTTTAGTGTATCTAAGTGTACATTGATAGCTATTTCTGCCTTCAGCTTGTCAGGCAGACAGGAGACGGCCTTCTCTTCGTCGGAGCACTTCTGTGTGAGCCACAAGTAGTCAAACCACTTGATCACCTTCACCTGTAAGTGTGTCGGCACCCGGCGCATGCGCATGTATGTCTTCACACCATCCAGTTTCGCTGTAACAACGCAACGTGTTAGAAGAACAGCTTGGGATACCTTGGGAAATAATGAGTTAGGGGTTGAATTTCCCAACATCAACAACCTATAAGTGCCCACTGCTGCCCAAAGGCCTAGTCTCACAAGGGGAAGGTGTGAGCATTAATCGCCAAACTTGCTCAATGCGGGTTAGCAATTTAAAATTTATAATTAGAAATTATAAGCTTAGGTTTCCTCACGATGTTTTCCTTCACTGTTTGTCAGTGGTGTCCAAACAATCTTAGAAAGTATTTATAACTTGGAAAAAGTCACGTTGGTACTTGCTGTTAGTAAGTTTCGAACCCACATTCTCATGCATGAGAAACGGGCGTTTAAAACCTCCAGGCCACCACTGACTGAATTTGTCAAGTTACAATATAAATAATGTTAACTTCATTTTTCCACTAACCAATTCTTTACGGATAATCTTTAAAGATTAAGCGGCCATACACTTGCCCCCATGCCCGTACTGTGTAATTTATACATTCTAAGTGACTTTATTGCATCAGAAGAACAACTTCCGCAGCAAAGTTTCGTTCAGTTGATATTTTGTGACATCATTAGGAAGAGATTACTCAAAAATCGTCTTCCTAACAAAATTTCAATTTCAAAAAGATAATATTATTCATAAACTTGTCCCAAAGTTTCGCAACGACAAAATAAATTTATACTGTATTTTAGATCGCACTTAATCTCACCTGTCGCCGTCCGGGAACTAGGGTTAGTTTAGCTAAGTGGAGCGCCTAGTATGTCAAGTGCTAACTTAATGTTAGCAAGAAATAATTGCAATCTCAAGTTTACCAAAACCGTTTAACCCGGCTGCCATGTCTGTCCCGAGATAACAGGCTTAGTTCAGAACAAACACACAATAACGACGTGTAATGTGGGCATTAACTACTCATATACGCAGCGTGCTATATGTATAATTAGATACCTGTGCGATATGTTAGCCTAGTTTACATTCCCCGTACACGACATTACAATTTTAATGTGTATCGATCCATTCAGCTTGAGAAGTGATTGTGCGGTAAAGCGATATATTTCATTCCATGTCCCTGAGGAGTACCTGCGAATGTATCTTCAGTAAAAAAGGGTCTATCGTCCGTGACGTAAGTTTCCTTTACCTAGACATAAAAAGTTTGTTAGCCGCAATGTAGAAGATATAAGAAAAACATACTACATAAAAACTACTGATACTAGATAAAACATGATAAAACAGTGTTTTATATTCGTAATAAATAATTGCATTGGAAATAGTAAGATAAAGTAAATTAAATCATACATGCTGCATCCAGCCCAAATGAAAACTAATTTACATTGATAGAGAGCGTGCCTCGTGCGGTTTTGTGTTCCGTCTGCGAATGTAAAATATTTGTTCTCAAAGCGTCCAATTGTAGTCAATATGCACAAAGGCTGCGGTAGCACTGAAACGTGCAATACAATTAAATTGAACACTACACTTGTAGGTAATAAGGCTACAAAATTTATACAGTCGAGAACTCATTATGAAAAAACAAAGATGGTATAAAGGTGAGTGCCAACAAAGAGCTGCACCTAATCACTAGCTTCAGTAACAAGTGGCTCTAAGTGTTCGGAATAAGTTGGCACTAATCGCCACTTATTGGAAAATCGATCGCTTCAATTATCATTAAATTTTCGTTTTCTGTGGGTTCGTATTCACCAAGCTTTATGTGTTATCACAAAACTTTAACATCGAGCTGTACTAGGTTTTACCACAATACAAGCAAAGCGTATCGACAGAGGTGCGAAGTGTTCAACTTTATTTGATGACAAGCAAGCTGGATAGTGGACTAAAGTGCACTGCACACTGTACTTTGCCAGTTACTCATAAAAGCGGTGCTGGAAGTTTTCTAGACATTCTTTTATCACAGGATTATTTTATCGCTCGTTTCGAGGACAAAAATAAACAAAAAGCATCTAATAACTTTTGGCATGATTCTCCTCTTATATCTTAATATATATCGAGTCATTCCGCTCATATTGCAACGGCTACTTATCCGAGTTTCCATTTTGTTTAGTAAATGTTATGCTTATTGGGAGTCGTGATTTTCCTTTAATGGTTGAATAATTTTATATTTCCAATGTAAATAAATCGAATAATTATTTGAATCAAAACAACATGTCAATAAAGTCACATGATAACTACCTATCTATTTCACGACCTATTTGAGGCAATAGAAATCAACGTACCTACCTATGTGTTAGTTAAACCGACATCCAAGTTACAATATTTATGGGTGTAGGTACTGTAATCTGTAGGTGTATAATGTGGTTCGACATTTTAACCCGACGCGGACGATACACGTGGATTCTACTATTGTTCTCTGAAAAATTAAAAAGTTCATGCTAACCCATGTTTAACTCAGATACAAATGGCTGATTGTTTGTTAAGTAGCGTCAACAATAAACATTACCTCACAAAAACAAGTGAACAGCTCGCCCTTTGCCGTGCAATACACCGGTGTACACACTGTTATTAGTGTGCTGACATTCGGAGTAATTTAATCTTGCTCAAACACGGTACGGGTACGGGAATGGTGGCTGAGTGCGGTCGCCGATGGCGGGGCAGCGCGGCCGCTTGTCACCGCGCTGTGCCGCGTGCGCCACCAGCCACGCTACATTAACTTACAACACACTTTTTGGGGACGTCGGAAATAAGGTTTCTTTATTTAGCAAAGCGATATTATTTTATTTACAAGGTTTCCGAGTTTAGTTTAAGTAGAATAAGTCAACTGGAAAGAAATATCCCAGAGGCCGTGTATAAATTAGGAAAACCTCTTCCTCAACCGAAATGAAATATATTACGATTTATTTTTCTATGTATTTATCTTATTATATGATGGTTATGTTAATTATAGCGAAGAGACACGAGTAAGAGCTACTCAGTAGAGCGTTCCTAAATATAAATAATACATTGTATCAAAATTACTCAATCGTAAAGATAAAACTGCCTAAATTTGGAAATGTTTTTTGCACTATCGACATCGTAATCAGTACACGCAGCAACAATGTGAGGTCTGAAAGTCAAGCGAACCTACAGCAGAGCGCTGCGTACACAATTTGAGGAGAGGCCGCGTCCAACAATTTGAATATAAACTAGATACTTACTGTAGGACCGAGTGCACCGATTGTTTACATTGCGCCCGCCTGTTCGACAATTTCTAACTCCCTATTGGACTCCGAGATCCCACGGAATATTCCAACGTACTCATTAACTGAGTGATGTAAACTATGTGTTCACTGATAACAATCAAATTACCTACATCTTTTGATCCGCTGGTTGGTTCGAGGAACTTCTTTACTAACTACAATGAGATAAACAAAATTTACTAAAACGTATTACTAACTTACTTTATGAAACAATGTTAAATTAAGTGAAACAACATAAAGTGCTGTCTTCCAAACATTACTTACGAAGTAAAATCCGAGAATATAAGTTAGAAATTTCCCACATCTATTCACTAAGTTGATAAACTTAATATTGTGTGTGTGAAGATTGCAAGTAGGCATTTTACACCGGACGTGTAAGCGTATCATGAGAAGCTAGTATTTCATTAGACGGGTAAGCGACCGGCGCACAAGTTATTTAAGTTGTGAATACTGCCTAGAGTTTTAAGGTTAATGAAATTGACTTAACAGATTGAATATAAGTGTAGGCTTTCCTCCGTAATTGTTGTTTTAAATGTAACTTATGAAAAAATGGGAATTTATCGGATATGTCTTGTTTGATTTTACGATTGATACCTATGACACAATAAAATTAAATAGGAATTACATCAATTGAATTAAAGAGAATCTTTCTGTGTGTAATGAAAACAATAGCTAAGTCAAGACATATGTATTTCAGGTGCTGAGCCACGCTGCAACACAGTGCAGGCCCGCAGATCTGACCAGCGGTCGTGGAGCAGATCAATTATTGTCGAATTGTTAGGCCCGGCGGGCGCTGGGCGATGGGGTGCGATGGGGCGCGATGGGGCGCGCGGTGGCAGCACGGATCGATGTCGGGCGGGCGCGCGCGACGCGCTCTCCCGGCGGGATGGGGCGCGGCGCCCGACTTTCGCCGAGCTATTTATAGCATTCAAGCCGCTGACCTATTTCGCTGCAGCGCCACCGAGGAAGGTCACGGATTCAGCTGCTCTCTGCCGTCGTGGCGCCATTGTCTTCTCAACCGAGCTGCAGCGCTAATTAAAGTTGTTGACACTTTGCCGCTCCGCTGTCTTTAAAATGATAGTCTTATCCATCCTACGAATTGATTACCTCCACGTGTCTATTGCTAATTTAATATGATTTTATCAGAATCGTAGAATATTTTATCGTAAATAAAGTAAATATTGAAACTATCTAAGGCTTTCGTTATCATCTTATATGTCGAACAGACGATTACCCCGCGTAGTCTTTCGTGACGTGAGGTCGTAAAGTGACTCTGGTCTTGGAAGCACGTACGGGCACAGTGTGATGCGGGAGGCGCGTGCCTGCACGTCTACCTGCTTAGTACGCTAATGTGACAGCCGCGCCGGCCCACGCGGTCTCGTGCAGCCTCCTCGGCCCACAATGTGGACCATACTCTTTGAACCTTCACACGAGTGCATGACAAGTCGTATTAACAATCTAATGCATCACACGAAATGAGAAGTTCGCAAAGCTTGTCTACAGTACATATTTATATTGGAACGTTTTATTTTTGCATGATCCCTCTTACATGGTAACCGGCTTACCTCAAACGTTTTTCATATTACATACGTAAATTGTGCGCATCAGATCCGAACTAAGGAACGTTTAAGGTTTAGATAAGCGTAGGTGAAAGAAGATACGTATGAATAAACCCTACAATGAGAAGGGCCTTGACCTGTGCCGACCTATGGCAAACATTCCTAAGTGGAACCATAATAACGTAATAACGGGTAAATAAAAAAATATCGAGCAAATTATATCCCGATATTCCCTACAAAAGCGAAAGTAAATTGGATACGCGTATTAAATCAAGTAATCACGCTCGTATTGACTATCTGATTGAAAAAATAACATTAAGCAGATAATAGGTAGGTGTACAATATTGTACCTATTAAACATTTCTGTGAATGCTTTAGCCTCGCTTTGGTCGAAATTGTGTCATTGACATTCAAAGCTCTCAAAGCGATATACCCACATAGAGAAAGTTTATTTGGGAAAGCTAGCAGAAAGATGTGAATGTCTATTATGAACTCCAGCCTCTTTTAACCGACATCAAAAAGAAAAAGATAGGGTTCTCAGTTTCACCTGGATGTATGTATGTTTGTGCGCGATTATCATGCGATTGGCTGATCCGATTTTGATGCGGTTTTCTGAAGAGTGTTAGTTAAACTTAGGAGTTTTTTTGTATATTAATTAATCGACTAAATAAAAAGAGGAGTTGAAGTCGGCTTTTTGAACGTGGATTCTAAAAGAATTATTGTCAAAGGTATTTAGGTGTACGGTGATGTGTGTGAGGATTAAGTTTGGTTTACCTTGAAACTCCTTCCTGGCGGTGCTGACTGAGGTGACGATGTTAGCGACGTGGCCCAGCACGGTCGCGAACAGCATCAGCCCGAATAACAGCTGCGCGATCACGAACACATACTCTCCTTTACTGCGTGGTCGAGGCAAGTCACCTGCACATAATACACACGTTGTCGACATTAAGTAATTACACTCGTAATGAAAGTTCATCGTATTTCTTTTCAATCGGATTAACAATAATTTTAGTACATACAGCTCAATAATTAAATCTTATGAGGACAATTTCTAGACAATACTGTAATAACTTTAGATTGTAATTATAATATGTACTTTACATAACACAACATAGAATATTTTTACAATGTTCACCATTGTTGTTATTTATACAACTACAATGAGATACAGTTATTGTTTGTATGTAGATTGTAGACACTTTTGCTTATCCAATCTTTGCCTCTTCTGAGCTCAAATATTATGTTCTAATAATATTCGTTGTTACATTTTCAATACATTAATACATATACCGTACATTCTTTAGAGATGATTACTAATTATTGAAACGTGGCGAGTAACAATACATCTATGTTGGTGCAAGTAAATCACCTGCACACGTGTGATACATCTCTGTTGCCTTAGCTGCAATAGCTCGCCAGCCATTATACACATACATGTACCACGAGACACGTGCAAAGACAAATCGCAGCCATTTATCTATGCAAATTGATCTCCTATAGCTTCATCGAATGATGGACAAGAAAAACCGACACCCATTATTCATATATTGCTTAATCGATTTGACACCACCACCAATTTATATTGAGCGTTACAAATAAATTGTTTTAAATGAATTTAACGCAAAAATAAAAAGAGAGATTAAGTTTGCGTCATAATAAACATGAACAAATTATATAAAACTTAAGAAACATTTTAGTAAGTAAGTACCTGTAGTTGGTTTGATTTATTTTGCGACAAAGAACACTGAGAAAGAAGCAGAGAAGTGTAAGAACAAACAAAGCAGAAACAACTTGTAATTCATTGTACAAATGTCAACATTATAACGATGTGGTTGTAGAGCGGTCAGCAGCGGACCGCAGCCCGCCACGCTCGCTGCCGACACCAAATCATACATCAACGCCTGTGTAATTGCTATCCCGAACAAAAACAAAAACCCACACTAATAAAATAACATACCCGCATTTGTTAACAACACCGGAGAAAAGATTTATAACATTTTTTGATTCAGTAATGCTGCAAATATGAGCTCAAAAATGTTCGCTAGCTGCGGTCGCCCCACTTTATCCCTGCGTCTCGTTCGAGTCAATGTCAGATTAAGCCTCGTGTTTAAGTACTTTATCCCACCACCTGTGACGGAGAGATGTGAAAATACGTATTTTATTTTTTAAATGAAAGCAAGTTTTGTAGTCATTCTGAACGATTACTTTGTATGAAAACATTATTAGCAAATTGTAATGCTAATTTACTAAAACCTAAAATATAGGTAGCAGCTTTATTCAATAAATTCACGAAGATAAATATTAAACTCATTAATGAACGAATCAGAGAAATCCAGTGTATATAAAATACTTTTCCATTAAATATTTATCGTAATAAATGTCCTAACGAGTGTTCCAAGTATCCTTGAGTCAACGATGAGATATAATAAGCAGATACAAAGGGTCGGTATCAGAAGACGGATGGCCCTTAAGACATGACAGTTACAGTGAGAGCCTGTTTTTACGGATTGCTAAATTGCAAGGCCCCAAAGAGCATGTAAACTGTCGTTTATTGTTTACAAGCCACAAAAAAGTTTCGTAGCACATGACCGTGACGTGTGCTACGCCGCGCTACGAAAACCGTAGCTCAAGAATAACCGATGTTTATGGTAATTATGATAAGGATATTTTCGAGTGCTTATTCAATATTAAAAGACATATAAAAGTAGAATAGTAAGTCATGTCAGCGTCAAACTATATATACTTTTCATACATAATATATTTATATATTATTATGAAATCTCAAATCTTTACTTTATTATCTGTTTGGTACACTGTTTACTGTTACGTTATATTTATTAAAATATACATATTACATACGTAAGAAAATTTAATACTTTACGGATTTTAATATGTGGCTATGAATAGACGCCATTAGGGCTTATTGCGGGCGTTACACTTGGCATGCTTGCAAAACGATCGCCAATAAAGAGAATAGTCTCTAAGACATTGTAACACCTTTTTATTGTGCTCATAAAAATACATTATCCATCGTTAGTGCTAGGCGACCTGCTCACCATCATAATTACGTTCACTCATGATACAATTACATTTCAATGCTTCAATTCTCAGTGTAAAGTACCACAAGCCCCCAAGACGTTTATATCGTTTTAATTAAAATGGCTCCGAATTTAGATGTATTTTGATTTTATGTTCATAATTAACGGGACTCGGTACAACAGATACGCACACGAAACGAATTTATAGCCTACGCCAAGTTACGCATACACACATTCGGTATGCGGGATTTGTTGATTTAAAACTTTTCCCATTACCTGACGACCATTGTACGGCTTTGTATATAATTATTGTGTTGTTCTTTATTTATGGCGGTGAGCTCGTATTATGAATATGCATTGGATTTATTGTATTCTCATTATGAATACCGTTATATTCAGCAACTGTAAGGTACGTACATTTATGTCACTGTGGTTTCACCTAAAGTACATAAAATCCGTGCCTATGTGATTTCCTACTCGTTCATGTGCGTAAATCTGTGCCATTTTTCTCGCATTATTGACTGCCAAAACCCAAAAAGTAGCCGCCGGCAAGGAATGTCCTAACAGCCCAACAAAAGCATACACTTTTTCCCTGTATAGAAATTGATATTATCCCAAATAAACCTCTAACAAAAAGGTTTTAACATAATGTCTGGACCTATTGTTTTCATTTAAACGAATACAAAGTATTTAAATACGTATAACAATAAAGAATGGAAGAAAAAACAAAGAATGTACATCAAATATATTGAACAATTTATATGAAATGAATCATTAAAAAAATCTATGTATTTTCATACCGCTCTCGAAGCAGGAAGCGAGCAGGTGCATGAAAATGACTCCGTGAAATGGGACCAAGAATTTTTAATAACATTGGAAATAGAACTCTATTTGGCGATGCCTTCTTGCTATTACTTTAGATATTGCGTTGCCTTAATAGCGGTTATGGCGCTAAAAAAACTGTGTGTCTATGTGTTTTCAAAAGTAAGTATTTACTACACTTTCACACTGTGGTTTTAAAATCGATCGTTTAATAGAAGCAGTTCAGTTTATTATATCAAAACCATGATCTCTAACCAAAGTGTCGTTTCCAGGTCTCAGCCATAAATGCATGGTGCTTGCCCTTAATGTTTTAAGTGTTCGTGAGCGCGGAACTCAAAATGGTGGTCATTAAATGAAATGGTGCTCTACATTGAAACACCTCTAGTTGCTTTCCAACGTTGTTGTTAATACGTGCTAAGCTTTGCGAAATTGTTTTACAAATCTCACGTAATACATGCTGTGTTTTTTATTTATAATCAATATTCTATACGTTTAGGGCGTTGGTAAATTGAATTTTATTTTTTAAATTAATATATTGGAATAATGATAGTTTGTTTGTTTATTTGTGTTTAAGCTCTAAATAAAGGGCATTATTCATGACTCTGTGTCAAGTATCTAGATTTTGTAAAGAGTTACGCAAATTTAATAAAGTATTAAAGAATTTTCATACATTCTTTAATACTTCGCCGTGTTGCGGTTTCACTAACAAATTCTAAAATTATTATTAATTTACACAGCGAGTCTCGGAGGCGTGACTATTTTATTATATTATAAGTGAGGCAGTGGAGAAATACAATGTTTACTAAGAAAAGTTTCGTCTGCAAGGAACCCGTAACTACTTAACTAAGTTACCAAGTTCGCGTATGAACGACCACCAAATAATGTTAAGTTATTGTACTTGCTTACGTCTCGTGTGTGTGAGGTAACAACATACATAGTAATGTCTACCGAATCGTTATTCGATAATACAGTAACTTATTATTTAGCTAAACATTTCTAATTAACTTTAACTTTTGGATCTTTTCATTTAGGTTAATATCCCCACTTTGTCGTAAAATTAATTTTAAAACTCAATCTAAATCTGAAAGTTCATTGAGGAGTTAAGAATCTCAGTGAATGATACAGTTAGATATTTAAATATTCCACGTCACATAAAATATAGATATTTAAATTTAGTATGTAGCACAACGTAAACAAATTCCCTATTTGCACTTCATTTACATATTATAATGAAATCTAATTTAAAATACCTCTTCGGTAAGCCTCAATTTATAGTTTATAAACAGTATAAATAATCGTTATCTCTTGTGCAATTATCTCCCTATTTATGGGCGGAAAATGTCAACCTCCGGGAAAGTTGCCTCTATTTCCTAGCAACGCGGTGAGTCGGGCGGGCCACTATGTTATTAAACCCGCTAATCATTATGAGTTGGTAACGCAATATACTCAAGCGGTTAATTGGATCTGTCTTCGGTAAACATGTTCCATTAATAATGTGTTTTATGATTTATTCTCGGTATTTTTGTTGCAGGAATTACATGATTACATTGCATAATTGTTTTGAAAAGTTTATTGTCTTTTAAGTGGATATCATTAAGTGCACACTTACCGCACTTGTTGTTGTTATAGAGTGCACAAAAACATATTCACCCTCAATATTGAATACCACACAACATTCTAACATTGACATTATTTGTCAACAATAATGACATGACGATGCCAAATAAATATTTACAAAGGCAATATTGCATCTAATAATGTACGAATTTTCATATGTGTGTCACCAAGGCGATACGTAGAGCACGTTTCTGTATATTCGCCCATTAGATGCTTTGTTTGTGAAAATATTGCGTTAATATTGCGAGGGAAGTTTATCAACGAGTTGACCAACTGCGCGGCCGACTAGTTGAGCCGAGACGAGCGCGGACTATGGACAAGTATCTACGGAGACACTTCAAGTCGATAGTGCTCGACTCGAGGGAACTTCTCAAGCACAATATTTTTATCTCCGCCGCTTTTTTTGATTCGTTTTAAAAGATTTGAATTTACCGCTTAACGGCGATAAACAACGATGAAACTTTAAAATCTAGAAAGGGCCGAGGTGGTCTCTAATATTATGATTTAAACACAAATCCATATATTTATGTAAGGAAGTCGTGTTAGTTACACTATTTATAGCTCAAGAATGGCTAAATCGATTTGGATAAAAATTAGTGGGATATAAAAAATGGGTGATAAAAAAAACCTCCCCGCTAGCTTAGAACCAGGAGACGGACATAGAATTAGTACCGACTATAGATTGCGGACATTTAATTTTGAATCGTAACTTATTTGAGAGCTAACACAACCGAACCTAATTGACTGGCAATTTGATTGAATCGCGAAATATCATTTGTATCGTAAATTCATGAGCTAGATTTTGCGGTTCAGGCAATTGAGGGGGGTTTTGATGAATATAGATTGTGACGTTATTATAAAATGTTGGTACGTAATCTGAATGCCAATCTAGTTTATTGAAGCTGTGGTTATGAGCGGCACATAAAGTAACAACGCTCATGCAGCTGTTTTCCAATGTTGTTTCTTACTTATTAGTATATTGTAAGGGTTTGTAAACATGTTTTCGATGTAAGACTGTATTTACGAAACAATTAGTGTCAATTAAATATGTCATAACAATCTGGAATTGTAATCTAATACTAATCATCTGTTTTCTACGAATCGCCTCATAACGAACATCAACAACATAATGTTTATAAATATTTAGGGAAAAATATTATATACGAATATGACAAAGCCATAACAGAGGGATGAAATTTAACCTTAATGAGTTCTCTGTATCTGATAAATGTATTGAAACGTAACAAGAATAACTTACTGTTACACGTGCCCTACTTTCTGTACCTACCTACACCAATTAATTTTGTTGTAACAATTTATTACATTAGGCTTATTAATATTGTATATAATAAAAAAAATACTAAATATTTGTATTACTTCAGGTACAGCACAATGAAAGTCAAAATCTACACCTAGTCAAAATTTACACACACTCTTAAGTAATAATTTAATACAATCTTATTTTAATCTGCCATTGTACACGCGGGTGTACGAGAAACGCGCACCGATTGGATATTTTTTCTGTGACGTATATTTTCAAGTTTGCAACCCGTTCTTTATTTGATTGAACAGAATTGTTAATTCGCTTTTCTATTAAAATATTTACCAGTGTGTACGAGAACGCGCGTTTACCCGTGTGTACGAGAGGCACGCGAGAGGCACAAAGCAAAATGTCCGATTATACCCAACTTTTGCTACTTTAATTTAGATTCCAATGAAGAAGGAAACATTGATCTTAATAATAAGAAATATCTATATTATTATGTAAATAGGCTAATAATATTTCAGGTCATGTACAAAAAAGCTTGTGAAAGAAAAACTATTTATAAAACGGAGCATAAATAAAGGTGCGGGAGCTGCTCATTAATCAATCTTTTTTTCAATACTGCGGCATGATCGTTTACAAAACATTTCTCATAAGATATTTATGTTATTTATTACCAAGTTATTCACTAAACATTTGGAAGGCGCGCGTAGTGTTGGACAGGTCGTCAGTCATTCCTGACGTTCACTAGAGCTATGAAACTAATTCTCCTTGCCGTTTTCTATTCCTTATGCCAATGAAATTTAATTACCAGCTACGTGAACATTCAGATCATCCAAGTGAACAATTTACATTATTATTTCTGTCTGCTCCCCCCTTCCATTGCCTCCAGACGTGACTTTTTTGTTACATAAACTGATAGGACAAGTTTCGTCTTTTAATTATGATTTGTCTTTCTGTGATTATGAAAGTTGTCGAAGTTTATTCCAGTTCCATTTTTTATGTCGCTTGTTATTGAACTTTCGGAAAAGAGGAAAGGTAGGTCCTTTTTAAATTTTGGTCACAGGATTTTTAGTGGAATAATCCGCTGCTATTCATTCCTGCGTCACCAGCAGCATAATATGTTATTTACACGACTGGCAGAAACATTATGACATTCAATTGGTACAAGTAATTAAAATAACCGTTTAAATTAACAAACTGCAGTTTTCAATTAAAACCTTATTGACACAATTATGCGCATATAAACGAAGATTTAGCAGATACGAACAAAGGCGCAAATACAGTACGTGATTTCACGTTCGGGAAACTAAAATTAGATGGCAAGTCATAATTACTGTTACGACCAGATCATTACCCGCTAAATCTTCGCATAAAAACTAATGACAGAGAACACTGACACACGTATCACAAGGATATTGTAGAGGTACAATAAACGGCACAGTCACATACACACAGAAGAACAAATAATATAAATTGGAACTCACCTATCGTCGTGAGCGCTAGCGTGCACCAGTAATAACTTTGTAAATATTGTTTCACCACATCTGCAGTCTCAGTGTCATGATACACCCAGTTTTTACTACCGAACCCATTGTTTTTATATATTATATGGTACAAGCACCCGTTCCAATGGAATATCACTAATAAATAATGAATTAAACTGGTCGATCTAAACAAATTTGGATAGTTCGTATGCCGCTCCGTACGGTCCATAAACGCCCAGAAGCGATATATCTTGACGAGGCGGAACGAGCGCAGTATAGAGTTGAACCCGATGGAGAGGTAGAGGAAGTCGAGCGGCAGTAGGCACAGACAGTCTATGTAGAACGTGGTCGAGTTCATGTAGTGCGCTCGCAGCTTGGCCGCGTCTGTCTGGAGCACCCCGTCCTCCAGGTAGCCCGTTCGGAAGTGAAACAATATGTCCGCCAGGTAAAGGAAATCAGAAAAGTAGTCCAAACAAAACCACACTATTAGCGTCTCGCCTGCAACAAAACGTTGTACGTTAATAATAATACGATCTTTCACCAGCAAACTACCGAAATACAACATTCAATGCAGGTTGCACACGTATGATAAAACATGAACTAGGTACCTAATCATATAACAGATACTAAGCAAAAACTTGAAAGGGACTTGCAAAGTTGCATCGTTGTAAGTTACCTCAGCTGTGAATTGGTAGTGAAACAATGGTAACTCTGGGGAAAATATCCAGACGTTTCTCTTCCAAATATTACATTGTCTCCAATGCGAAACATTTAACTCAGAAAAGCTATTTAGGTAAGTAATTTAATTCACCGCGGGGCAAGTTGGCGGAAACTATGCGCGGAGTGCGCTAAGTCGATGCAGCCCCAGATCGTCGTCGCTAATCTTGGTTGCTATCTAAATGGAGACGTCTTTTGCATAAGCTCTACAGTCAAAATTGGATTTTTATCCACTTAAGCGCCTGCTTTCAAGTTCATCCGACAATGAAAATGAGTAGGAGCGATACAAATCGGTTTGATCCTCGTTTCACGCTTCGTATAATGAGAAAAGTAACTTACCATTTATCTCCTGAAAAGCGAACCTGTAGACTATGACCCAAAGATTGTACAGGAAAGCTAAGGAGACGACCATGGACCAGTAGTAGCACAGGCGGCCGGCGGGGTCGAACACGAAGGACCAGTGCGGGCCCGCGCGCAGCCGCCCGCTCGCGTACGTCGACCGCCGCCGCAGCCCGCCTCTGCTGCCACTGCGGACAACAATACACTATCACCTATCTCATTATCCATATCGTTTGACCCTTTTAGCCCTTATTCCTTCCAGTCTGCCTCAACTCCATACACAATGGTAAATCCGTTCTCCTTTAAGTAATCTACATAACATTATATGTCTAAGCTCTCTGCGAATCTAATAAGAGTTGCACTCAACGTTAACCCTTTGGCTTATCTTAGACGTAACTATAGTATACCTTTTACCTAGATAGTTAAGTAAACACAATATGTTGTGTTGACTAACTATCGATAAGAGAATCATTGACTGAGTTATATTTTGATTACGAGGAAGAGGTCTCTACAGCTGTAACGGGAACGTAAAAGTATTTATCTGTAATGTACAAGGACATAGGTAAGTACATCATGTGTAGTTAGATATTATATCTGTCGGTCGGAGAACGTGTGCGAATGGCGGCAATAGATAGTTTGCTTTCATTTTATATCGAACTTAGTGACAGATAGGTTTACGTAGTTCCTTTGTTATTTGATATCATGGTCGGCAAACGTAACAAGTATATAATTATATCTTTGATACCTATTGTTTACGTTGATATTGGAATTATTTGTTGTTCGTTGATATTAATAGAATTATTAATGTAAAAATGCTTTAAAAACTAGTAGGTACCTACTCGTTTCGTAGAAAAACATAAAATAGGGAAATAAATAAATCATATTTATTTAGTAATCTATTTCTGAACTTCAGAAAAAAACAAACAACTCAAGTATATTATTAATATTATTAATTTATGAAGACGTCTAAAATACAAATTGGATTTTTTTCTAAATAAGTACCTCTACATAAATCGATATAATAAGTACCTCTATATTAATTATGTACATTTACGTGTATTGCTAATTAATACCCACAATTTACATATTGTACAAATTAACATTCACAATACAGATGCACATCTACTGGACTATGTACTTACAGCCTGCATATTAATTAAGGTAACGTATTAGTTAGATATATGCTAATTACAATAGTCTTTGTTCAATCTCGGCGAACTATCAATCAATCGAATCTGAGGCCAATATGTACATCGCGCCTAGCTGTAGCAGATTGAATCGCAAGCTATCAACGTGCGAGTCGTTTACACAAGGCACCTACTTCCCTATGCTAAGCAACCCGGCTTACAAGATATGTACACAGGTATCAGACACGGACCGTGTAAGATAAATGTAAGCAGCGCTGTTTGCATTAGCCGATTGTTTGGAGTTAACTCCGATTGACTGCGTTAGCTCGGCAATGGATTTATGTACCTACTCGCGTGTAATTGCGACTGAGGAATAATTGAATATCGCATTCGCCACCTGAGGGCTCGCCGCAACGATATCTGTCGATAGGTATCCAATTAAGCTCCGCTACTGAAGACAACCAGCGAAAGCGCTTAAACACGGAATTGCGGTACCAATCATACTAGTTTCATTATCTTGAGCTGGCTCTGATTGAATGCCGAGAACAATTCATCTAGAGACTCAATACCTCGACAGCTACCTGTCACGACATGTATTCAACCATATACAATACAGTCAAGTTGATATTGTCAATACATGTTCCTATCAATGATCCTTCAGACGCAATTGCAACGTCTTGGCTAACACTCGGAAGCGAACATATCTACATAGATTTATAGAAATTTCTAAGATTAATTAAATACCTACTTTAAAGTTTGTTGCTAAAATATTTTAAAGCTTACATATATAGACGAAGCTAATTAATAGGAAGCAGCGCCAATTACAACATTCAAACAATACATAGGTATATTTGAATGACGATTCCGTGTGATCCCTCTGAATAGGAAAGCAGACATAAATTGGATATCGTGGCCTCACCAAACTTGGGAACTACATTCACCAATGTTGTTACCTAACTTTCCCGGTTGTCGTGAAAACGGGACCGCAGCTTATTAACTAGTTAGTTGTTTATTAATACAAGCTTTTTCATTCACATAACTACTTCGACACGCGAACTAAAACTATCGAGAACTTCATATAATAAAACAACGCTGTCAAATATCCCAATTCAGTTTTATTAAATAAAAAGTCGGATTAACTTCTAGAGTGAATTTTCCAGCCCAGATTGGATTTGCTTAATTCATCCGATTTCACAGCGCAGATTAGAGCGCCGCCGTTGTCGGTAGACCACGGATGTCGTGTTTTTCTCATAACTTTACCTGCCTAACATACCTATGAATTTGACTGAAAAACAGTACTACACCTTTCACATTCTACAAAAAATGTCAACAGCAGTATAACAACGGTTTCTAACCCAAAACAAAATCGTTTTCGTAACAAACAAAAAAGCATCGTCGTGCAAACCAAAATCTGAGATCAATGTTAGCCTATCAATGTCCAGACAATTTCGTTATATTGAAACTGGATACTGCAAGCCAAGTGATACAAAGACAAAGCGAATATTGACCAGACAATGTAGCTATGTAAACAAAGGAGACACTCACATATAAGCGAATGGCCGTATACTTACAAATAAATGGCGACTTTAAATTTATGATTATGGCGCGCATTTCGTATAAGTGGTTTATGTAAAATCACTGGCTGGTAAGTTGTATGTACTAAATCAAATTCTGTGGACATAAAAGTTGGTCTGTACGCTAGGATGGCATATTAGAACTTTCTGTATGTTTAGGATTTTCGTTGCTTTACAAACAGAGCTCTAGGGAGAAACGTGTCTATGAAAAATTATACTGGAGCTTAGCTCTGATTCTGGATTCGGATTTTAAGTATAGTTGTCTTTTTTCAATATAATATATTTTGTACTGGGCTCAGGATAGGCCAAGTACATACAAAGCGCATTTCTACGTATATCTGATAAGAATCATCCCTCGTATATCGTTCTTAAAGTTATTATTATAGTTACTGTTTTGGAGACTTACAATAGGGTATACAACTAATTTTTATTTTAATGTCTGTCTGGTAGATTATTTAAAAACCTTAGACACCTATTTTTTCTTGTCTTATGGAAACAAATACTTTCGACGATATATTGATTTGAAATACCGCATGACGTCACTTTCTTGTACGTTTTATATTTAAGAATGATGTAGCTACCTCCCACTCTTAAACTTTGTTTGTTTATTGTTTTTTTATACGAATAAATATAAATACGACTACTTAATTAGTTTTTAATTTACGTACCCTATCATCATTCCTATTTCTACCGAGAAGAAACTCATTTTGCACGTGTAATATTAAAATTATCACGTCGGTAGTATTGTGACTGAATAAACACGTGAGTAAATAGGTGCTAAATTGGAATTGTCCAAATATCTATTTACAACTTTTCTTTAACATTTTTAAATTGCGCACGACAATAATAATTGATGACGATACCTGTCAGTTCCATTGCAATGTCCCGGTGCGAGGTGATTGTGTGAGTGATGTGGCGCCGGCGTCGCTGGCGCATGTGGTGTGTGCGGGGTACTCCGCCACCCACTCAGGAGCGGCGCCTCCCCGCTCGCCCCCAATAATTTTAATCTAAACAATTAGACAAAATTATCAATAGGTAGTAATAATACCCATAGTAATTTCTTACACAAGTTACAAACAATAAATTTGCCTAATATACTACTAGAAATTACACAATTTAATATTATTTTTACTTGTCTCTATACAATTTATTTCTTTGCCGGCAAATTCTAAAACAGCATTTACTTACGGTTTTTAAAATATGGGTACCTACGAAATATTCTACGTTTCCCGCCATGTTTTTTTTTTAATTTATTGTTTATGGAAATCATTAACAATATTGCATTAATTTTATTTCATAATTTACGTACTTTAATTAAAATATATTTTAATTTGTAATTCATATTTATTAAAAAATATTTTGATTAGTAATTTATGCTATCAAAAAATTGTCGGATACAAAGTCGTCAAAAACAATTTTACAAAAAATAACAGAAATATTATAGTTAATCTCTTCGCATCCAAAAATATCTGGCTGTTGAAGATTTTTCGGCACAATAGCCATTAAGACCGTAGAGAAGAAAAATATGTTTTTTTTTTATTTCATTTTATGGCATCCATTATATTTTTAGGAAAATGGCCAAGGCGTGTTTCTCAAACAGCTAAAATTTATATTAAAAAATGTAACGGATATTTTACATACCTACAGATAGAAAATAATATTTCGTGATTCTTTCACAATAAAATACAATTAACCTCTTTGGATTCTACATGTAATGGCTTGGCTCGTTCGATACTTTTACATTTTAGTCGCCATATTATGACCAAGAGGAAGAATAATAATTTATTTATGTATGTTTTATTTATCGACATCCATTAAACTTTTAAAATATAAAAATACATTAGAACAGTAATGATTATAAAATGTGAAACCCATTACGTCAGAAGTACATTAAAAATCATTGTCCAAAGTTAGAAACTTCATAATATAAATCACAAAGATCGCCAATCCGGTGTTAATCTAGATAGATATGCAGATATGAGGATTTTGTGCGAGGAAGAAATCGTTTGAAGTCCAATCGACTTAGTGGCACGCGAGCGGCTACCGGTAGAAATTGGTTTTCCCAATACGACCTCTGTAGGGGTAGAGCTGTGCTAGAACTGTCGTTCCGTAAAATGAGATATAAACCGTTCAAAAATGCGATCTGTCGCAGTGCAAGGCGACAGGCGCTCATGTTGCCGTGCAGGCCTGTCGCCAGCTGCTTAGCGACACTTTACCTACAGATTAAGTAAAGTAGTGTATGACGACTTCTAAATCTGTTTTAGAATGTTTATTACTCATCAGATTTTTTGTTTATCTCATTTTGTTTACAATTATGTTTCAAAATAGATTTGTGATCTTTGCTAACATTATTAAACATTTAGACACATATTTACCTCCATTTTCGTTGATTTCACATTTAAAATTAGAAACATTTTTGTTACGTAACCAAAAGGTTTCGATTTCCAAAACATATACCTATTGTGCAGCTATTGAACAATACGAGTATCAGGAAACCTTGTTCATTACGTTGTATTTGTTCTTTTAATGAGACAGGGTTATTTAAAGGCAGTACAGCAGTCTTTTCACACATGACGACGGACGACGGAGCTCATCGAGTCAACACTTGTGATTAAAGCGGCTCTCAAGGAAAGGGCCCTCGTGTTCCTGGGCAAACAAGAGGCTGGCCCTCGAACCTCTTCACTGACGCCTTAATGGAAGCACCGCACGTTTAACCACGTGATATAAAGAAATTACACAGCACAAAAATATTGGGCATGTCCTTCTTAAGTTTTTTGTCCTGTCTCCTCCATCTGTCCTGTTATAAGGACTTGTAATTTATATATTTGTATAAACACTTGGACAGTCTTCCCAAGCGTTAGATAGACGCACATAATAATATGCGAATTCAAATGTTATACATAAACTTGATATTAAATTTTCAGTAATCATGTCTTATTCTGAGCACAAATCACTAGTCACAAATGTATACAACGTGCGAAAAATCTCGAGATGTAATTGAGAGAAGTACTCGAAGCATGTTACAATAAAGCTGAGAAAATGTATTCAAATACTTGGAACACCAAGATTGGTAAGATTTTCCTCTTTCCTTATCCTTATCAACTGTCATCACAGTTTTCACTTCCTTCCGCACATCCTTCCTAGCTTATCTTACATTTATCCATTCTTATTGAAATTAGCTGAACATTGTTTTCAACAGAGTTCTTCTTACTGTAAAACGTACAAAATCAGATGAACCGACTCAAATATTGGAGCTATAAAATAAATCACAGGCATTATTCATAATACCTTCAAAGCCCTCAATCGAGAATTAAGTTATTAGGATCGATAAGGTGAGCAAAAAGGAATCAAGGTCGTAATAATTCTTGATATCATAGAGACGTTCAAAGAATGGCTCCATAACACATAGAGGCTGGAAGTGTTATGATCGCGATAGATCCCTTTTATCGCTCGTGGCGGTTTGACAGATCCAGTTTAGGGGATATCAAGTAATATGGCTCCCACGTGAAAAATGCTGAACACAAAAAGTCTTCCGACATTTTACTGAGCATTAAGTTGGTGATTTAGGCACGTGTATATTTGATAGCAAAGAAAAATTAAATTTCTGAAATCAACACACTTTTGCAATAAGTGGTAGGTATTAAATAAACAAGAAACATTCATATGTATTATACCTATTCTATACCTAGCAATTGCGAAGACCAATAGGTATATTCGATATAAAAAAATTAACTTGTTTTTTAGTAGGTCCGTTTCCCGAAGCGAGATCTTATCAAAGAATTTTTCGGGGCATATTTATTGAAATAGCATCTCTGCTGCTTGTAAAAAGGTACTTTAATTAGAAACTAGGTGACTCAATTTCGTTTTTGCCTTTAAATTTCATTTTATCTTAACGAACTTCAGTTTATGTTGCGTAAAATTCGATACCTTATTACCTTGCAAATCGATAACTTTTAAAATAATGGACGGAAGGACGGAGGTTTCCCCTCCCGGTATCCGGCTCGGCGATTAGTAAATCAAACGAATCGTTTCAACAACACGGGGGCTTGTTAAATCCGGTCTCGTGTTGGATTTTGTCAAAAGTCCGGTGGTACTACGGACACGGACACCTCAAATAATTTGAATATCCCGTGAACAAGTGCGAATCAATTAAAATGTACGATACGTGTTTCACGAGCAGTGGAACAACTTTTATGAAATTCTCGTTTTTAAACTTTATTTAGTGTCCTTTCCTATGAATTGTGAATTTTCTTTCAAATTCATTTCTATTCAACATTACGTATTTTCTGTCGACATGTTATTTACTTATGGCATTGGTATGTGGTACACTAATTTAGTAAGTGATGGCCCCAACACTATACTGTATTATATAAGGTCAACAACTGTCACAGAGTGTACTGTCTATTTGTCATACTCTGGTGTGTGGACTCGACGTGTGCTCTGTCCAAATTGTACTTAATTAATTGTAGTAATAAATCTTAATAATAAAATACAAGTCGTTTAAGTCAATCTACTAACATAACAGTTTGTGTATGTATTACCTAGCTTTATGTGCGCGTCTGGAGCGCGAGGAGAGGTCCAGCTCGCTGGCGGCCGAGCATGCCGTGCCAGCCTGCAGCGAGCCCCGGGAGCCACCCAGCCGTCGAGAGCCCAGCCGGCACGTCATCATTTCTGTGTAATAAAGAAAAACATACTTTAAAACATATTCATAAAACTTTTCTACAGTTAATGTGATGATAGCAGTATAAACATTAGTTTCACACTTCAATCTTTAGCTTTGTAGTCCCACGTTGGGCGCCAATTTCCATCGAATGAATCTCTTTTTTTAAGGATAAGCCGGGAAACGAGCGGAATTATGAGCTTTTTCAATTAATTCTTTTGATAGATTACGTAAAGAATTTTTTTTACATAATAGATGGACCAACTTTTGTTTGATATGAAGTTAGCTCTACAACGTTACTTTAAGACAAACTTAATATATTCATATAAACATGTACAGTACCTACATATATTCATATACGAGTATTTCGTAACAACTGAAGTCTTACCACGACATCGCAAATTGAAACCAATTTTCGTATTTCTGATCAGCGTAACACCCGCACAGTTATTCGCATGACAGCACTGACTAACCAGCTACATACATACATACGTACATGACATGTATAGATATGTACCCACACATGTGACCGAGCAATGATTCGATCCAATTTTACACTCTCATACACACCTATTAACAGAATTCTTTAATGAACTAGAGACTCAAAATTCTAGTTATTAAATAACAATGGTAGTATATCCGCAACAAATGTATTATAACACGTAATAAACTATTCTTTAATAACAAGAAATATTCCAGTAATCTGGCTGATATTTATAGAATCCCAAAGTTACGATCATTAAATTCAAAACGCAGTATCTGTAGCGACACAACAATACGAGCAACAAATGACAATCGTATCGTATCACATTATATCGCAGTCCTTTGTAAACTCATCACACTCTGCTAGTCTAAAGACGTATTATGTCCCACTGACAACTGTCCATTAGACGAAGATATTGTGCGCCAGCATTAAGTTTAATTCAACGTCATTATGTTATCTATCTCAATACAACAATGTAGCGTATGCTCAGTATTGTAATTGTTTACTCCAAGACAAACACTCCGCCTCCCGGAGTGGAGCTGCGTTTAAGCACCATTGTTTGTAACCAATTAAGAAGATATGAGATAACATTGAGTTTTATGACGAGTTCGATTCGCCGCAATCCAAAGGGCCAACCACTCAACAATGGGAAAACAATAACGATAATAAAACGGAACCATCTTGCGATACGAATAAAATGAATAAAGCGTAAATCGAATGAGGCCATTGTTGCGTCCGTATTCTTTTTATAAACTGGCCACCACGATTTGTTCATTGAGGCACCCACTTTCTGAGAGTTCCGGTCCAAATTACGAGGTTCGAAAGAACTCGACCGAACTTGGTTCAGAAGTTACCTAACGAACTAAAAATAAAATGAAAACTCGATGCAATCGGGCAGTAGCGTAACTATAGCATACATAATGGGCGCAGAAATAGGCTCATCACGAGGCGGCCCGTGAGGGTAATATAACAAGTTAATACGACCTATTTATACAGCGCTGTTCACAATGTGACGTCATAGCACAAAGCGATATCGTCCGTACATAAATAGTGAAGCAAATACGAATGTGTGTACGTGGATTGTTTCGTTCCGGCAGGCGGAGGTTTTGGTAAATTTTAATGGTATGTTGCGTCGCAGTGCGGAAACCTACGACTTGTTGCGGTGCTTATCATTTTCATGAAGCTTATTTAACGGACTCAACGGTTTGTTCATTGAGAATCAGTACAATAATACCCAAACTTGTATTTTGAATATTTGCTGTTCAAATTACATTGAAGAACCAATGCAGTGTTACACGACACGAGTAATAAATATCTAACGTATTCCAACGACATGTGAATAAAAATTCGAAACTCCGCAGTTCGGCCGCCGCAATGTTTGCGTCAAAAACGCTAGAGAATTTAATTCATTTTTATGTGTAAAACGTTATGGACACGAGCAATAAAGCACAATACAAACGACGATGCAAACTATTGGTAATCAAGTTAACAGCGTGAAAATACGGTCAGCGTCGTTCAAAATATTCTGTCATCAACAGCAAGCCGGCGCGGCGGTCTCCAAGCGATGCCACTAAAGGCCAATAAATAATAAGCTTGCCAATTTGCCACGTCATCGCGTCGATAAGCACCGAGTAATTGTGGATTCTTGCATAATTAAAATCGAACTTTTACTATAGATTGATATGCTAATCGGACCGTAATAAATATTGATGAAAACTATCAGAGAGGCAATTAAAACAATCGTCGGATATTTATTAAGCCGGTCAATGATTCGTGAGTAAGTTTTTTGGTAGTTTTAGCAACGGTTGGTTTTGGTATTAAACCTAGTAATACTAAAAACGTGGTTTTGTTTAATACTTGATACGAAATAAGCTGAAACTCTCACTCTTACAATCCTAGAAAACTAATCGATAATATGCGTAACGAATAATTACAAACTCATATTTCTATTCATCTCTGGGATATTACTTAGTGTTATAACTCTGCATCCGTATTTTGTAAAACTTAAATAAAAGCACCACTTTTCTTACAAGTATGTGGAACTAACGGTACGCTAGTAAACCTAAGTAAGTAAGAGCCGAGCGAATAAACTGAGCACATTTCCACCATCACCCGAACGTTCAAACGATTACAGTTCGGAAGCGTAGTTCCCGCTTTCAAATAATTTTCTATTTCCGCACCAATAGAAAAAGAGTAGAACATATTATTGGGGGGATCGTCTCTCTTCAATGTTCACCGTTCAAATACACTTTTGGGCCTTTGCATCGCTAAACGAGCTCCGAGATATAAGAAGTTTGGTAGTCAGCGAGATTTGTCTTGTGGAAACTTGGAAAAGTGATCACAGCGTATTATGTAACAAGATGATTAATATTTCAGACAACTTCCATGCATCCCCGAGGGCCAACATAAACATAAATTCATAATCGATATACTACATAATGTAAATAAATAAAATTTATCATAAAAAAATCAAACTTCTAAAAAGGTAAATTATTGTAGTCACTGAATTTCGTTTTTTTTTTAATTTTCCTTTTTTATGTACCTCTAGATAAAGATAGTTTGTAGTGGCGACTATTCCAGAAGCAATGTTTGTTTGACAAATATTTATGATTGAAGCGATCGCTTAAATACATTTTTATTTAAACTGAATAATGCGTTATAGAAGAATTTTATTTTTACAAAAAATATGTTCAATTTTGCTCTCTTGTCATTATTTTATATAGTGTCATTATTTTATCTGACATCGATAATATTAGTTATTCCTAGAATATTGATGTGTGTATTGTGTTCGTTAGAAGTCTGTCTTTTGCCCTTACAAACATCGTCGTGGGCATATTCTAAAGTAAGTGGCGTCAACCAGTTGTAATAGCAGCGTACATAACTCGCCGCTGCCGCCGGGGGCACGCCGCCGCCGCACTGCGACGCAACACATCATTAAAATTTACTAGAATCTGTTACGTGCGAGAATCCTCGATCCAAGTAAATACATACACACACCAATTAGAAAGGCAGTATTTAGCGACAAAAGACACACGCACTTCTACTGAACAAAGGGATTTCAAGGGACTGATGTCTTAGTTAAGAAATACTTTGTAACATTTCACTATAATTAAAGCTAAAAAAGAAAGATGAAGGAAGGCTATCAATCTTTCGGTGTTTACCATAATAACAGTTAATTTAATACGTAAACGGCTGAATAGGTAATTAGGTTGAACGTTTAATCGTATTAGGGCTTCACATTAAAATTTGCCAATTACTATAGCTGCGAACTATTTCTGTTCCTCGCAACAACATGTGAGTTTTGGAAGCTGCCGTTTGCTTAGCTTGACTTAATTTCCGTGGGTTTCGTTTGAAGTTTAATGTAAATTTGATAAAAGTACTCGTAGCCCCGCACGCCGCGCCGCACCACGTCACGCCGTGCCACGCCGCGCCACGCCGCGTGCCACCGCGCGCCGCGCCGCGCCGCGCCGGGTACAGACGAGCACATATCTCCCGCGAGATGATTTATGTCGTTGGTCTCGCCTCTTTCTGCTAATTACTTAGACGTGCCGCAGTCTTGTTAAGATTTGTGTTGCTGCTCGCTAATTAATTTTTTATACTCGACTCAATTTTGCCGTTAAAATTTTGAATAAATTTGTTTTCGACATTACCGCAGCGCTTCCTCGTATTTTATAACATCGTTAATTTTAAATGAAAGTGTTTGTTGTTGTTTGTACTATTAGTGAAGTTACGTAACATGTTATGTTAAGAACTTTATCCTAAAACATTTTATCTACACAGACACAGAAGTGGTTGGTTTCGATTACATGATACTATAAAATGTAATCCTTCAATAGGGTTCCTTTGCTGGCTCGTAAATGGTACATTAGCATAATAATAAGATTCATACGAAGATAAAAACGCAGCATTTTATATAGGCTGTCAAATAAATCAGTCAACTTGCGACCACAATTGTGAGCTTTCTATTGTAGAATAATTAAAACCACCAATTTATTCAAACTGGGGTGGTTACAGTGTAATTACTAATACCAATACTTATCACCGATTGTAATTCGTATTTAAAATCTGGGTAAAGTACTTAATAAAGGTAAAGATCTTAGTGTGTGCTGAAAACAAAAATATAATACCCAAAAGAACTCCAAAAAAGACCTGAAATATATTAGAAGTGAGGACATTTTCCTCGCAGCCATAGATACTAGGTAGCAGGTGACGTGTTCAGAGATGCAGCGCCGGCAGGTAAAGCCTGGGAGCAGATAAGACACGTCTGGGATAAGCTGCAGGTAAATCTGTACCACGGACTGATCCATAGGATAGCATAGGATAAATGTGGATTTTAATTTGCCTTTAAACAGAAGCGAGGATCTCGAGCTTACTTACAAATCGCAAAGTTAAATTTATATTTGATACTAATTAAATGATTCTTATCTTTTCAACCGACTACAAAAAAAGGAGGAGGTTCTCAATTCGACTGTATATTTGGTAAACGATTCGTATTTTACAGGTCTATTTTGCAACCTACATGATGATTAAAT